TTCGTTTTTTCCTGAAAGTTCAGACATATTCCATTCCGGGATTATGCAAATTATGCTTAACTGGAGAAGACTTAGGTTATTATAATTTCTCTTGAGCTAATTCTATTAGCTTAACTTTTGGAAGCATTTTAGCTACTAGAATTTTCAAATGTATGTGTTTTTCTTTTCTCCTTAAAGAAATTATCAAGGGCTTGCCCCAGTTCGAGGTCTTAAAACACCAAAAGAGATAGATGTACATGGAATTAAGAAAAAATATCACTCAAAAAAATTATGACCAAAGAAGAATGATGTTTTGTAAATTCTTTCATGTCACCTCCGAATTTTAATCCACAAATTGAAGTCTGATTAAAAATAGGAGCAAACTCTTAATAAGGATTTTTGTAGAGTACGTAATACATATAAAACTCCCCTCATGGAAGCCAAGCAGTCTTTCTTCCAACAAGATGAAATCAATCATTTTTCAGGGCTCACCATAGCAAAGCAAGTTCATACAGTAAGTGAAAGATACATACATTAAGAAGACAAGGTTCTTGACTCAATGGGCTTAGAATTGAAAGGAAGATGAGGTTTCTAAGAAGACAAATCACTCCTGGGCAGCTAGAGGCTGCAGCAAGTACCTCCAGGACACTCCACTCAGCAGGCAGGCTGGCGAAGCCTAGAGGAAAAGGAGTCTCCTCAGACACCAAGAAAGGCTTCTTGAAGGAGACTGTGTTTGAGCTGGGATTTGCTCAGGAGAATTGACTGTCCCAGAGAGAAGGACTCATATAAGCAAAGGACACAAAAGGGGAAACATTAAGGGACAGTCCCCAGGACCAGAGGGAGGCTGTATAAGGTGAAAGGTTTGGCGCTACAAGTAGATTAGGATGGGGAATATGGGGCCTAGCCAATACTTTGATATGTTTGGTCTTCCTTTTGTAACCTGCGAGCACCCCTTGAAGGTAGAGGTTGGCTGAGCGTGAGAGTAACATGATTTAGACATGGGCGTTAGGCCATGCTATGGAGATAGCTGGGCCGCTGAGTGACCATCACAGCCATGTGTGCCCTCCAGCAGCATGAGGGTCCAGATTAGCGCAGAACTCTGGGGTATTAAAGCGGGGTGGGAAGGGTACATGAAGCCAGAACCAGCAGGGGTGGGAGGAAGGGGATGGCTAACAATGACAGCGGCTAACTAGATGGCTGGTGACACCGTTCACAGGAGCAGGGAAATCACAAAAAGGTGGAGGTGGAGGTTTGCTGGGCAAATGGAGCGCCTGGGGGTGCCAGCGGCTCTGAGGCTGCCTAGGTAGGAGAAGCTCTAGGCGCGGTCTGCAGGCAGATGATCACGAATCTGAAGGTAGTGAATAAAACACGAAAGGGAACGTAGAAGACATCATACGACAGTCAAGAACAGATGCAGGGGAGTCCATTGTTCAAGAGGAAAAGCAGAGAACAATGACACAAAACAGCGGAAGCGGGGTCCCACAGACAGGGTCACGGTGCAGAGAGGGGCGCACAGGGTCTGAGAGTCTGGGGGAACAGAAAGCTACTGACATAGTGCATGGCTTCTTAACAGCCTCACAGCACGGCTGCCACAGAGGCAGGGCAGAGTATTCCCAACAGTGAACATGTGTCTGTGTGTGCCTGGGGCCTGCATGGGAACTTGAGACTTGGAGCTGGAACTAGGTAGCGGAACTCAGAAAACGGAGTCAGGCATGAAGCTCACAGTAAGGACCAGACAATCCAAGGAGGACTGAGATCCAGAAAGAGAACCCGAGGGCAGGGATGCGCTTCATGGGCAAGCCTAATGAAGAGGCTCCGAAAGCCAGGGAGTGACGGAGAGGGAAGGGATGCAAGCCAGGTTCTTTCTGGCAACGTGCAGCCTCCAAACCCCGGTTCATGAAAGGACCAGCTTTACTGTCTGATGCACACTCTTCGAATTTAGCAATAACCTCTACCAACCAACAATCTCCGTTTCCAGGGATGATGCTGGCTGTTCCTTCAGAGGTGTCGAACTGACGTCCTGAAGTCCTCTGCACTGACTGGGACGCCGCAGACCCCTCAGAGGGAAGGAATCCTGCCTTTTCATTCCAGATGCGGTGTATGCTGACAGCTCTCTTCACAAGTCCGAAGTTGAAATCACTTCTATGGGCTTGAAAAGTCTCCTTTTCTATGACAGATTAAAGAAAAAATTTTCTTCCATTGGGGGGGAAAAAAAAATAGGGCTTACACTCTATTTTTAGGGGTAAAATAGCAGCAGCAGCTGAAAGTAAAAGCCTTTGGACTCTCACAATCCCATAAATAAAGCAATAAGATTCTCTAATAAAGCGGGTTAACGGGATAACCTGGACCAAGTCTCTAAATACCGAAGACCCATGGAGGGAACAGGTCCATTTAACTAAGACTTTAATCAGAGGCCACTGATTAATCTTAATCCTACAAATCATCCACTGCAACTCAACCCATAAACTGCGGGATCTTTCATTCTCATAATAGGTGTGGGAGGAGCCCAACTGACATAAGAAGACTGTGGCATGACATCCTAAAAATCACCAAGTGGCATTGTTAAACACCCACACACGGTTAGGATGCCGCGCGGCTATGCTGAGCACAGCACGCACACTCAGGAGTGATCTCTCCATTGCTCCTCTGCTGCATGGGTCACGAGGCTTCTCATTAGTTATCCAAGTCCTCGTCTAATCACAAACGCTTCAGTCAAAACCCAGGGCATGTGAGAGTTTATAGGAAACAGGACATCTAAACCTGGAATGAGGGAAGGGAGGAAAAGGAGGGAGGAGTGGGGAAGGTAAGACTCACCTAATTCATTTTGTTTTCTATCACCTGGTACTTCCCCTGGTCTTAGCGGGCCCACGTTGCGCTGGCACATGCTTCAGGCTGTAGCCGAAGGCTGGTTTAACCTACTACAGGGTTTAAGTTTTCAAAAACATTTTCAGCAGATGCACTAAATATGGTCAAATATTTCAGTGTTGTTCCTAATTATTTGAAGTTAACTATCTAAAATCTACTGACTATAGATTACCTTCACCCAGGTCTTCAGCCCCAGCTGATTCATAGGACTGTTTAGAATTAAAACCCAATTTTCCTTCCTTAATCCACAGACAACCCCAACCACACTTAAAGGACAGCTAAGAAGCCGCAATCCCTTCCCAGCAAATAGTGCTTATCATCTTACAGAGCAGGTTCACATCTTGTCACTTCACTTTGACCTCTTGGTTATCCTGCCTATTTTGTAGGAAAGGAAACTGGGGCCTACAAAGGTTGGGTCAATTGCCCTAGATCATGTGGAGGGCAGTTGGTGCAGCCAGAATTTAAACCACCTTGGCTCTGTCTCTGGTCCTTATAGCTTCTCTACCAGAACTACAGGACAGGAAGAGCTAGAAAAACCATTCCAGAGCTCAACTGTAACTGGGCATAAACTCTGAGCTCATTAGAAAACTAGAAAATTACATCCTTTTGCTCTTGTTCACAACTTTTAAGTTGTACTTATCCATAAAGAGGAATTACCATGTGTATAGATTGTTGTAACCTGATTTGCATATGATTATCAGGAAAATAAACATGATTATGGTTGTTTTTCCGCCTCCAGGTCTAGTTGGCAGAGAGAAACTTCGTCCTTCCTTGGCACCCGTCTCAACTGTCACAGACAAAGCTGTCCCTCCGAGATGTGGTCTCTTTCCACCCCCCATACCCCACTGTCTTTTAGCAGCTGGAAGTTTGAGGCCTGTGGGAAACTGAGGATTAATTTTTAGTCTGTTTTTTTTTTTCTTTAAATCACCAACTCTGAGAATTCTAGGTGTTACTCTGTGCGTGTGCGCTCCACCATATCAACTTTCACAACTTGGGATCTGCTAGAAAATGGGCTTCTGAGCTCCCTTCCTGTCCCTCCACGCAGGTCTCAAGCCTCCTCTGTCTCTGCTCCCTCTGCATGCTTCTGCCTTTCCCTTGTCCACAGCCTTGGTGGGACCCGCCATTGTTTGCTCTTCTTTCTAGAGAATGAGTCTTGTCTCCAATTGATGGGAAAAACTGCTCAGGACAAGACCATCAGACCAGCACTCGGTTACTGATTTGTATGCTGTGCATATGTTCACTGTTCACATAATAACAGATATCTTATGAGTCATACTGTGTGCCAAGCACAGTGCATACTGTCCTGGGCATTTACTCAACACCAGCACTGGGGAGCACCCATCATGAGCCAGGACTCACAACTCTGTGCATCTCTCTTCATCAGGCACCTCGTCAAAAGCCATCCACAGTATGGGGATAACGCAGCAAGTATCTGGTGAACGTGTGTGTAGTAAGTACCACTTAATTTTCCCCTCACTGAACACCATTTACAAACAGAGGAAGACCTGTGAAAATTCCCATGAGGCAGCGCAGAAGCATCCAGAGGCCACCGCACATGTCTCATGGCCACTCTCCAGCCGGTGATGGCGGTCTGCACAGGGCTTCTTCCTGGGGTGACTCCCAAGTAACCTCCCTTCAGCTTTCTCCCTGCTGTTCTGTGGTGCTTGTCTTCCAGCAGAGTCTCTCTCACTTTAACAATTAAATGGACAACCCAGGAAACCTACACTTGGAATTCAGTGAAGAAATGTTGGACTCCTATGGAGTGTCTCATTAGGTTAGAGGAAAATTACGGAAAAGTCTGATGGGAAAATGAGTTTCTACATTTTGCTTAGGGCCCAAAAAGAATCCCAGATTTTGTTTCCATTCAAGTGCATATAGTAGTATTTATTTCGATTCAGGGAGATGCAGTTCGTTTTTAGGATTCACAAAAGCTTCTTGACATCAGATCCAAAGCTTGTGCCGTGGAGATATGGTTAAACATTCTCACGCAGCATCACTGAGCCGGAGAGCAACCTGAGAAACCTGAGAACTCTAGGTTTCTGTGTGGGAAGATTCCATCCGGCTTCATAAAATACTACCTGGACCTGAGAACTCTATGTGCAGGAAGATTCCATCCGGCTTTATAAAATAATACCTGGATCTTCAAGGTTGGCAAAGAAGAGAAAAGCTCCTTGGGAACTTAGTTTCTAGGTCTCACAGCACAAGCTCTGTGTCCTCAGAGTCGCCGTCCTCAAGGAGCCCTCTCACTGGTCACTGCTGCAGCCCCTACATGGACCAGTGTGTGTCCACAGCTCCTCCCCGATTCCCCATAGCACAACTGGGAACATTTAAACAAAACTCTGCAGAAAAGGGAGAGATACTCAAGGGGAATTTGCTGCAGAAGGAAGCACCTACCACCGTGAGTTTATGGGTCTTTAACTTTGGGTACAAGAGAGAAGTATCACTGCAGAGCTATGGCCCTACAAAGCACTCTTTTGCCCCAAACTCCTGTGAGTGTGCTGTCTCTCAAACCCAGATTCTATGAAGTTTAAGATGAGACATCAATCCAGAGCTCATTCTTTCTCAGTTCTGACCAAGACAACCTCTCAATTCCAGTTCCCAATCTGAGGAAGAGCTGCCCCTTTCAGAAAAGGTACTGGGCCCTCCCCTTGGGCATTACATCAGTATACAGGCCAATGAGTCAATGATCTCTCCCCTACACAGAGAGCCTCTTAACACAGATGCAAGGATGCCTCCAAATGCTTTAAGCCTAGGTGCACCTGCAACAGCTACAAACTCAACATACCCAGGCAAATTCAATACTGCACTCCTAGAAGAAATTTATTTTGCTTCATTACAGGACAGAAGCAAAAGTTGCAACAAATTTCACCACTCATGAACCATTTTCCAATGTGCCAGCAACAGACGCCGTTGATAGACACCCCATTTGCAGAGGTGATGGGGTGATCGATAGCTTCTGAAAAGAAAGTTTATGACCCAGTCATATATCAGAAAGGTTAAAGTCCTAAGACAAAATTTCTGGAACATCTTCTCCTGTAGCACAGGTTTCCTCTTAGTGTTTCTGACTGTGAAGAGGAGATGGATGGGAGCAGGCAGGTAGCATCTCCTCCTTCCTCTGTCTTGATGTCCACCTCTGCTTCTTTATTTCCTTTTCCTTTTTCCATTTCTTTCTGTTTTTTTTTTTAACATTTTAAAAGTAATGGTCTTAAAGTTCTTCAGTCTTAAACAAATCATAGAAGGCTTTAAAAGTTGGTTTTGTGCATTTTGTATGTCATAGTTATAAGTGGATTTGAAGTCCTTATAATACTTCATAAATTTCATCAATCAACATCCAGGTAGGTAGAATCTTAGGTACATCATGATGGTTATGAATTAATACTAGACCTGTGTGTGCTGGGTTTGTCTCCAGGCCTTGGGTGAAGGCTGCGATGGGGTACGTGACATGACTCAGGAGTCACTCGGTGGGAATTCAGGAGAGGCAATGGTAACACAGCACCTCAAACATCTCAGGGCAGCTGGTCTACACCAGGTACACAGTAGGCATGAGGAGTGCAAAGATGGGAGAGGCAGGGGCCCTCACCTCAGGGAGCACATCGATACAGAGACCGTCCCTGTCCCCTCTATCCTCAAGTCTTGATTTCTTCCGTCTTTCGCAGGTTGGAGGTTAACTTGCTGCTGAAGAGATTTCAACAACATGGGAACTTACATATAATCTGAATAATCGAAAGTAAAAGAGTTCATCTTCTGGGTCCTACTTCTGCTGTTTTCATCCACTGCTTCCTACCCATGTGCCAAGCATTTTCATGCAGCCTCATCTGTCTTTTCAATAAGAAAGCCAGTTGATAACTAATTCACACTTAGGTGGGCTGTTAAACCATAAAATGTTGACAAGGAAAACAACACTTAATAATAAATCATATCATGGTAACGTTTCTGTAGCCAGTAGGAAAATGGTTTCAGGTGTGAATAATTCTCACTACTTCATGGATCACACAACATAGACACTGTTCATTAATGACTCTAAAGTCAATACAGGGCATGAAACTGTAAGGAATTCCTTCCTACTATTGTCCAGGCAGTGAAATGGGACTTTTTTTTCATTTTGGCCAGTGTTCACTGGTTCCACTATGTTTCTGATCAGATCTTCACATTTAATTTCTTCTTAGGTATTCATGCGTCTGGGAGTTCTTATTTACTGGAAACTCAGTATCTCCTGTTTGCAGGCAGTGACTGGGTGTTCAGTGAGTCCAGATATCTCTGGATGGATGCGTGGATAAGCTTGGTGTCCAGTGGAATCTGTCTCATGCACAGAGGACGAAAATCCAAAAGCTCGCATGGGTTCCAGCACAACAGATAGCCTGTTCCACTAGAGTTGTGTTAGGCGAGGTGTGCACATTTGTATCATCTGTCACAACTATTTACCCCTCTCTTTTCTCAGTAACAGCAGATACACTTGCCTATCACCATGCGATTTGGGGCAGCTGATCCACCACCAGGCTTGGCCTGTGGCTTGCTTTTCCCACAACAGTGTGAGCAGTGTGATGTGCAGCATATCTGAGCAGAAGCTTTAAAAGCAATTGTGTGGTTTGGTTCTTCCCCTTGTACTTCTCATCTTCCATGAAAAGGGCCTGTTCCCCCAGATCTCTGCTCCTTAGCCTGAGTCCTGGAATGAAAAGACACACAGTGTCACAGTAGTGAGATATTTTAAACAAGAAAGAAATGTTCGTTGTTATAAACCGCTGAGATTGGGGGGTTGTTGTCACTACAACACACCTACTACAACATGATATGGGCACTAGGACAAGGGACATGCATTTCATCCCTTGTCACAATGATTTTAAAAATCCATTACTATGCCCAGGACTTGGAGTGATACAGGCATCAGGCAGACAGGAAAACAAGTGCACTGGGATGCTTCTGAAGTTTTTAGGGATTTCAACAGTCCTTTCAATTGAAGGAAGACTGATCCTCCACCCCATGCAAGAACATTATTAGTGTGAAACTCCCAAGTGCTGTATCCTAAACACACCTCCTTAATAACGGAAAGAAATCCTTCCTCCTCTGAATTAATTAAATAAACGGTATGTTATTCATCAGATTTCTATATAATATTGAAATTATTTTGATAAACTAAGGACAAAATGTTTCTAAATAACATATAGAGATATAATTTACATACTGTAAAATGTAGCCTTAAGTGTCCAATTCAGTGGTTTTTAATATACTCACAGAATTGTGAAACCATTACCATAACTAATTTTAGAATATTTTGATAACCCCATAAAGAAACCCCATGCCCATCAGCAGTCACTCCTTCCTCCCCATCCCTACAGACCCTGACAACCACCATCCTGTTTCTATGACTTTACCTATTCTGGAAATGTCAGGTAAATTGAATCATACAACATGTGGTCTTTTGTGACTGGCTCTCACTAAGTATAATGTTTTCCAGTTCATCTTTGTTGCAGCATGTGTCTGCCTTCACTCCTTTTTGTGGCTGACTAATATTCCACTCCCTGGATTTATCAAATTTTGATTATCTATTCATCACTTGGTGAACTTTCAGGTCATTTCCACCTTTTGACTATTAAGAGTAATGTTGCTCTGAACATTTGTGTACAAGTGTTTTCGTGGACATACGTTTTTACTTCTCTTGGGTATATCTCTGTGAGCAGAATGGCTACGTTGTATGATAACCCTATTTAATATTTGAAGAGCTGTCAGTCTTTTTCAAAGTGTGCCAGCTCAGTTTCTTTTGATTAAAAAAAAAAACAAAAACAAACTGGAGGTTAAATATTCAGTCGATGCAAAGCCCTGCCAAAGATGTTCAGTGACTCAGATGACACAGTCTTTGAGGTGCTCATTGAGTCAAATTCCTGTCTCCCTGCTTCCCCATATCCCTCTCCAGGATGCCCCCCTGTCTCAGGAATAAGGGGTCTCAGCCTCCCAAAGCACCCTATGAATGCCCACTGGCCTCTCTTACACAGTTGTTATGCTGACTTCTGGGCTGGTGACCCTGCTGGGTGGGCGGCTTTGGCTGGACTGTTGGGGGTCAAGCCGGTCCCCCAAGGAGTCCAGACTCTGGCTGTCCAGTTGTGAAGGCTCTGTTGTCTCTTTGTCTCAACCCCAATCACTGTCATATTGGTTTTCAAAGTGTAATCTGGGAGTCCCTGAGGTGTTTTCAGGGATCTAAAAGCTCAAAATTACTTGTATGATAATACTAAGACATTAGTATTATGTGCAGTGGGGTTTTCCAGAGCCTGCATGAGGTTAGGTATTTGAAAGACTCAGTGCAGAAGCAGATAAGAAAACCCCGTTGCCTTCTATTAAGCTGGGCATTATAGAGGTTTGTAAAAATGTGAAATAGTCCCACTCGTCTCACAATTTTACTTTCTTCTCGACATGGAGTTGAGCTGAACAAAGGCTTCTCCCACAGGCCTGCAGCCTCCCACAAGCTACACATGGAAGTTGTGCAGTTAGTCCCAAAGTTACTGGGTATCTTACATTATTCTGACATTCCTGTCATGTTCCCCACCCTGACCCCACGGAGCTCCACGTGGGAGAAACACTAGGATGAGATCTTTCACTTTTCTGACCCTCCCTGATCACAGAGACCTTGCACACGCCACCTCCTCCGCTCCCTCCACTCCTGACTTGTGGCCACTGCAGAGGTCCTGCCAGCCGGACCCATATCTCATGGTAGGAGCCATAGGGGAGCCTGCAGCTCAGAATCACAGAGGTGAAGATTTGGTTTCAGTGCCCCCCAAATACCATCAGTGTGCACTTTGTTTATCAAGTGTTTCCCAAATTCATACAACCTCCTTTCTTAAAAATAACCTGTTAATGTCTTGGGGTTCCAGGTTTATGCAGAATGCTATAGAAAGCATTGCCATTAGGAATTACACTTGTTCCTTAGTGACTACAGACTTTAGATATTTCTGGAAGTTCCTCATGGGACCTAAAGCTGGTTTTGGTTTTGTATTTGTTTTACTTAAGTTAGTCACATTTACAGGAAAACTGCTTCACGATCAACCCAAATAGAACAAAATAATCTCCAAATTCAGACTCTAGAGAAGTCCAGGTGCTTCCATGCACTTCACACATTATGAAATCCTAATTAGGAGAAGAATATTGTTCATGCTCTTAGGATTCCCGTGAAGAATGGCTCACTGGCTTCTAATTTTCCTGTGGAAGCACTTCTCTCTCACTACTAGCAGTGGTGGCATTTGTGGACTATCACAAATACCTGTGGATCCGCAGGCCAGCGGATCTCCAGGCAGGGCCCGAGGATCTTCAAACTGGAGGATCCTGGAATAAGGGCCTAGGAAAGCTCCCAATATTTCTTTCTGCTCCATCATTTCCAACTCAGTTTTATTGTGTTAATGCCTGGATAACAGCCCCAAACAACTCCTTGGCTTCAAACGAAGGACAAGCATAGAAGTAAAGAAAGAATGGAGACCCAGTACTCCAGTGACTTTCTTTAGTCACTTAGTCTTCAGCCCAGTGAGGAAGCGCCCAGGTTTCCACCCAAGCAAATGCCTCCTGATGGCCCTTTTGCAACATTAAAACATCATTTAATCAAGCAGTACAGATCTAAGTATATTTTATTCAAACCTAATTATTTAAAAATCCTTACTATCTCCAAATGATGCACAGAGTAGCTCTCTAATGATGTTGTATGTTGAAGACCACTTTGAATCTAAAAAAAGAGAGACAGAGACCCTGATTTCGTAGTGAAGATGCAACGACATATATTTCAACAATAATTAAATCCACCAATTCCACCTCTTTATAAGTGGAATAAAGACTGTAGCAGCATTAAGAAGTCCTATCTTTCTCCTTTTCCTTCTTGACTTCTTCAAGGCTAGAGGCCTATTAGCTGGCAGACTATTAGAATGCAAATATGATACAACCCAAGCAGCTCCAGCTTTGAAACAGAAGGGTGGCTAAGTACCTGCTCTCTTTCAATGCAATACTCCAGCAGCAAGGCTAGTCCAGTTTCTCCCATCAACAGTCAAACCCTGACCGTAAACTTGACTACTTTCAGCTTTTGGGAAGCTCCATTCTACATTCTTCAATGGTGCCTAGCCCTATTTTACCAGTACATGGATGCTGGGATTGGGGGAAGGGAGCTGGAAGAACCAATCTAATTAAAACAACTTTTGCTTCATCTAGTTAACAGCAGGTAACACTGAGTTCTCTCCTTCCCACAGTGGCTCATGCCCCCTCATAACATGAAAGACGCATTGTCCTTCCCTGTGCACACAATCTGCAACCAGAGAGAGCCACCAGCCACAGAAAGGATGAGGCCCCATATTAACTATTTTCTCATTTGTTAGCTTAAGGAAATCATTTTCTTCCATTTTTCCACTTCTTGAAAGTGTATCTACAGGTTTTTAGCCAAGAATTTTTGGATATAGTTGGTTTGGGGATCACATATTTAATTTGCTATGTGTTTATTTTTTTTTGTCTTTCTGAGAAAGAAGAAGAATGCTAAATAAAACTCCGCTTCAGGGCTCCTGTTATTCCAATGGCCATCACCTTGACTAGATTTATTTTCATTGATTTTGTTTATGGTCTTTCAGCCAATTATCCATCAAGATGCTTTCATAAAAGACTGTGAAATTCAGAATAAAAGGCACAAAACTTATTGCTATGAATTGTAACCTCTGATAAACCAATGATATATGGCATGATTTGAGAAAAATTTTGTTGGCACATTGTCAAATGTATTTTTGACCACTAAAAAAAACCAGTCAGGGCCGGGCGCGGTGGCTCAAGCCTGTAATCCCAGCACTTTGGGAGGCCGAGACGGGCGGATCACCGTCCTGGCTAACACGGTGAAACCCCGTCTCTACTAAAAAATACAAAAACCTAGCTGGGCGAGGTGGCGGGCGCCTGTGGTCCCAGCTACTCGGGAGGCTGAGGCAGGAGAATGGCGGGAACCCGGGAGGCGGAGCTTGCAGTGAGCTGAGATCCGGCCACTGCACTCCAGCCTGGGCTACAAAGCGAGACTCCGTCTCAACAACAACAACAACAACAACAACAAAAACCAGTCAGTGATGTACATGCTCAAATCACAGTGGAACACTGAAGTCACACTGGTCACAGATCTCTTTGATAACTCACTGGGCTTTTACTTATGTATTTAAAAGCCATGAGAAACCTGAGAAATGATCCAATCTGGCACCCTCAAGTTAACAGGGAACTCGGTTTCATAGAATTCTCTGTGAATCTGCTTTTAATTTACATTGATACTTCAAATTCTACATGGCAGATCTCAAGAGTTGTTTTAGATTCATTACCTTTTCCCCAACTAATTTTATAACTCGATAAAAACCATAGTTCTGGTTTTACTTCTGAAACATGACCTTAAATATGTAAACTTATTTATCTTAAACAAAATTAATTGTTTGACAAAGAGTTAGCTGCTTGTAGCATGAAGCTTGAAAAGCCAGACACTGTAAATAGTAGCTGTAATTATTTCCTTTTTCAGTCTGAAAATGAACATCATATTCATGTTTGTTCACATTGCTGGTTCTCTTCCTTGTGACAGTGTTGCTGAGGAATCCGCAGGATACAAGGGGTTTCTGAAGACTGGAAAAAGGCAAACAGCGTATTTTAAAAGTAGGTAAACAATAACCTTAGCCATCAAAAAAATACTACATATTTCGAAAGTGGGTAAACGATAACCTTAGCAGTTAAAAAAAAAATACTGGCACATTCATCAAGCAATCAATCTGTAGCCACCTAGGAGAGTATGCATGCTGGGTAGCTATCAAATTACTTTGTAAAAAGGAAATTAGGCCAGAGGAAATTAAAATCCATCCATGATAGAGCACGGGGCCACATAGATAGACTGAGTGAACCATGTATACTGCAGCGACCTCCTTCTATCTGAGGTCGCTCCATGAGACAGGATGAGCACTTCGTCAGCGAGAGCCTGCAAATCTCTAATCGCCTCTGAGAGCCAGTGACATGGGACCTTGTGATAGGTAAGCCATTTCATAATGAGTCCCTCCTGCTCTTTTAGTAAATAACTCCCTTGGGAAGAAGGCCAAGAAATCTCAGCCCTTCTTTGAGTTTATTTCTAGAGTGATTCCAGTTGTGCTTTGCTAATGTTTCTATGTATCAACAGATAGGTGTACAATTGGCTGGAAACGTTTTCAGAGGCTTATATTTAAACTGGAAGGCATGTTAATTTTATTTTTCTTTCCACAGGTAAAAAACTCCTTCTTTCTCCCACTGTAGGCTTTTTGTGTTTTCAACATACCCAGCCTCACTTGGAAAAATAAAAATAAAAATAAAGCACCCACTCACATGAGCAGCCAAGTTTCAGATACCAGTAGGCACGGGCTCTTCCAAATGTCTCCTGTTCTGGAGATGTTCGCAGTCTTCAAATAAAAACTGAAACAAACAAGCAAACAAAAAAAATAAAATCTCACTACCAAATACCCTAGGAACAAGACAAACTCTATTTGGAAATTGAATTTCTTCCATAGTCAATCAATATTTAATAAAGAGAGAAAAGGAGCTCATTACAAAGACCATCTTGTTTCTCCACAAGTCATCTATGTGAGATTCCAGAATTTCAGGGCGATAAGTTCTTAATTGGAACATTATATATTCTCTTTGCAGCCAGTAAGCACGCATCACTTCATGAGAAAGCACCGCGGCCAACATTTCTCCTGGTCTGCTCCGGGTTTCAGCGAAGGGCAGGCCTGGAAGCACCTTGGGAAACGAGGTAGAGCCAAGCTAACCCCCGAGAGCCGCTGAGCTTGCAGAGAGTTGAGTGATTACGCAGGCATAGTCTTGAGTTTTATTTTCAGTTTGAGTACTGCTAACTAGTCTGTACAGTTACAGGCTTACTGGAGGGAGTGTATTCTACATCAGCTATGTTCTGTCTTCCTTAGCAGCACTTAATGAGTCGACTGGAAAGCTGTTCCCAGCCAAGCCAATATCCTATGAGTTATAAATGACATTTCATGCTCATATGCAGATTTCCTGCACCGAAGTGAATTATTTACAAGGTTGGGCTTATGGATTCCAACGATCAGCTGCCTGAGATTTACACCCACCCGTTCTCTCTGCTCTCTTGCTGGGAGACTGTGACGTTTCCCACTGCCCTTTAACATCTGAAGATTTAACGGGAGCTGCCCTTCCTGAGGCAGGTGCTCCCTTGCTTGAGAGGGTAACTGGAAAGGCCGTGCACCCCAGGAGCTGGAAGGTAAACTAAGGCTCTCCTAGAGTTGCTTCTCCCCGCCCTGGGAGGATGCTGTCTGCACGTAAATGCACAGGAGGAGCACCAGGAAGAATTTAAATTCTGGGGAGGCCTTCCTGCCCATTAGCAGTGATTTTATTACCTTGGGTCTTAGCTAATTAGTTTAATAATTTCTTCCCGAATGTGTGAAAATCCAAATTTTCTCCTAAAGGAAGCTCTGTGTTCAGCGGCGTGCTCTGTCCTCTGTGCAACAGAAGCACCAACATGTCGTTTCTGCCTCCCACAAACTCCAGGGGTTGAAAAGCCGCCCAACTTACAGCAAGGATGATGAAAATATAAGAGTTCGGCACCAGACAAATCCACCAATGGAACAAAAAAAAGCAGCACAGAAACCAAGTTAAGTACACAAGGGTCTCTAACGTATGATAAAATCAGCATTTAAAATTAGTGAAAAGAATGGTTTCTTAAATATGTTGAATGAGAACAACTGATTACGCATTGGAAAAAGTAAAATGAAGATCCCTACCTTATATCATCAACAGAAATAAATATATGTTAAATCAAAGACCTAAATGTAAAAATAAAAACCAAAAGAACACAGGAAGAAAATATGGAGGAACATTTCCGTAGCCTTGCAGTGAGAGTGAACAAAATGAAAGAGGGGACAACATGACATATTTGGTTACCAAATTTTATAAACTTTTTCCCAGTAAAAACCAGACTAAACAAAATTAAAACATAAGTGACAAACAAGGGAGGGAAAACATTTACAATTGACTGTTAATATCCCATATTCAGAGAAATCCAACTCATTGAAAGACAACGACAGACAGTACCCTAAAGGGATAAAGAATACGTATAAGCAAAAAAGAAGTGCGCATGGCAAATAAATCTGTGAAAAGATGCTCAACCTCAGTATTGATTAAAGGAATAAGGAAGTGGATAACAACAAAATAGTTTCTGCCAAATCTGACTGTTAACATGTCATATATTGTTAACATTGATTGCTGTCGAGGCTGTGAAAAAATAGGCAGTTTCATAATTGTTGGCAGGAACAACCAACCGCTACAAACATTTTGGGGGCAATTTGGAATTATCTAATAAAATATATTTGCATATCCTTTGGCCATGCCATTTCACTTTTATGGATCTAACAAAAAATCAAATAAAAACATTATAAAGGTATGTGTACAGGAATTTTGATTGAGTACTGTAACAGTAAACATTGCCTGCAGCCTAATATCTACCAGTAAGAGATGCTTTCATGAATTATGATAAGTTCATAAAATGGAATGCCATCTTCTCATTAAAATCTGTAAACAACCAATTTTCCATCAATAGGGGAATGGTTAAATAAATTGTAGTGCCGCCATTAAGTTGAATGTTCCGTAGCTACTAAAGAGAATGAGACAGAGCTGTACATAGATGAAAAGATGTCTTTGCTATCTCAAGTGAATAACGTTGTAGACAAATGATAGATACCATAGAAGAATAATCAGATGATTGATGGATGATTAGATGCATCCTATATAACTTTTAGTTCAGTCTGTGTGTATCTACGGAAGGAAAGCACCCTCAGAGTTTTCAGTGGTGGTGATCTCTGTGAGTAAGGACGTTTGTTTTGTGTGCGGCTAGGAGCTTCACTATCATCTCACATGCTCATTCCGCCTGTTGGTGTGAGCACACTCCCAGGCAAGTCGGGATGCTCATCTTCCCGAGGACTGCAGATGTTGTCACATGTCAGGGCTGTCCATTCTGGCATCAGCAGAGACTCCCAGCAGCAGAGACCTCTCCCTCTGGCTGGGAAGCCAGTCACTGGATCAGGGACCCGTCAGCCCCACTCCTGCTCTGCAAGCTCGCACCCCTCTCCACACAGAGAACACAGAGAATCGTTCTGCCACTGCTGACCACTGCTTGGCTATGGGAAGCTCTGGGCAGCTGTGAAGTCCCCTCTGCCCTGAGATCCCCACATCCACTGTCACTGTGGGCTCTTGGTGCTTCCATGGAGCCTTACCTGGGAGAGCGGTCTCTCTATGCCCAGATTCCCCAATCCTTTCTGGTGTTTTGTTAGCTCCGTACGAGGTGTTCATGGTGCAGGAGAAGGATGACAAAGCTCGGTGCCTCTTCCGTTAAGGATCCACTAACAGAAGAGGCAGTATTTGTGCACTCCTCTTTCCCATCTGAAAGTCCCAGGGAATCTGGATCTTGTCAGGACTGGGTGCATGACTGTTGATGGTCAGCCATTCTTACAAACACATTTTATAAACTGAATATTTTGTGTTCTCTGAATTCTAGGCTCTCAGAATTCAAAATTCAAGATGAACTTTCCCCCCTTTTTTTTGCTGGTGTCACTCATCCCTGAGTGAGGAACACAAAATACCAAAGCCAATTATGTGGTACGTTCAAAGGGTCCAAAACCACCCAGGGTGAAGCATCAGGCCACCACGTTTGTGTTCACCAAATGCCCAATCTCCCCGATCCTCTTATTCTCTCTTCAAAAACAGACACAAAACAACAGTAAGAAACATCCTCCATTCTAACTGAGAGCTGAGGATTTGGATGATGTGGATGAGCTGGAGGAGGTTTTCCATTCCTAACACATGGAAGGCAACTGAATACATTCTCCTCAGCCACTGTAGTTCTCCAGAAAGCCCCTGGGCCTCAGTGGTAATACAGGGCTCTCTTCTCCTTGACCCATCTTTCCCCTCCCCCAGTGCTCCTCCCTCTTCCTTCCTCTTCTGATGTGTGGAGTGGGTTCCTCTCAAGTAGGAACGCGGCAGGCACGTTGAGGCATCTCTTCAGCAGTCAATGGGGCAGGGGTTATTTTTTATTCTTTAGGCAGCTCCAGTCCCTAGCACAGTGCCTGGCATGTAGTAAGTGCCCAATAAATAGAGGAGTAACTTTGCATTTACATGAAAACATTTTTTGTGACCAAGGCACATTCTTTACATGTCCTCAGGGACAAAAAAAATTTTATTTTTCTCCTTTGATAATAAATTTTATTTCTATAATCAATAGTAACTTGGAACTCATCTTGGGAAACAACATGGATAGCCATGCTAGATAATGACTCTGTGTGTGTGTGTGTGTGTGTATGAGAGAGAGAGAGAGAGAGAGAGAGAGAGGGCATCATCATCCTAAGCAAGTACAAATCAGGAGTTTGTTTCTTTGCAAAACAAATAGTTGTTCTTTGTTTTTTGTTTTTGATATTGTTTTCTAAGGTAAATACTATGAAGGGCACAGCACTCATTTGAAAGCCTACATGTCATTTATTTGATTAATTTATTAAACATATTTGAGGTGTCTACAATTTATTCATCCCTGTTCTAGGCAACGCAGATCACGTGTTGAAGTAGACAAGGTGTTTGCACTCATGAGACTTAGGAGAAGGAAGACATCCTAAGTCAAGCAAGGATGGCCCTTATACAGAGATCCTGAGACAAGAGGGACCAGTCGTATTCTAGAGACTGGGACATAGAACCTGTTTGGTCTGGCTGGAATGAAAATTGCAAGGTGGGGGAAGTAGAGAAGAGAGGCAGGGGATGCTGAGAAATTGATCTGGAGGGAGGCAGATCATACCAGACCACGGATGGCCTTATGTGTCCTGTTTATCCTGACAGCAATGGGAATCATTAAAGGGTTTAAGTACAGGCTTTGGATCTCTGCTCTGGAAAGAACAGTTCAGCAGTAAAATGGGAGATCACTGAAGGAGGCAAGATTAGAGGCAGGATGATAATTACGTGTCTTCTCCAGACACAAGCCAGAGACTGCTGGTTCAGGTAGGTAATTTCACAGGAGATGGTCAGAAGAAACTAAAAGTAGACAAAATCAAAGACATTTAGAATTCACAGTGGGAAGGCCTGGAGATGGACTGGGTTTAGTGTGGAGACAGAAAGGTTGGCAGGTGAGCATCTGGCACAGGCTAGGACTCTGGAGGCTCAAATGGGGAGTAAAGGAAGCATCTCTCGGGGGAGGACTGTTGGATTCCACCTTAGACTTTCTTCAGGAAGCATCCTTAGGATGACCAAGGGACACCCAGGTAGAGGGGCCCAGGAGCATCAGTGTGGAGGCCTGGAGCCTGGACTTCAGCAATTGCCAGTATGTTTTTGAGTGTCTTATAATCAGAACACAGGAAGTCCAAGAAGAGGAGAGGATGCATTTGTACCAAAAAGTTCACAGACAAAAGGCTATATAGAGACCGAAAGGTAAGATTGCAGTGGATTCAAATAAGAGTTCAGATTTGAATGAAAATACAGGCAAAGGGACATTCAAGGTACAACGAACAGCAATGAGACTGGGGGAGGCGAGGAGAACGAAAAACTGATACTGATCAGAGAAATCTATCCAGTCTTTTCCTAGGAGTGGGGGTTCTTTAAACCTACGGGTAGTCTTCCCGAGACTTGGCACTCAGAACCTGGCCTCTGGGACCCACATGCAAACCATCACTGTCATCAGGAGACTAGCTTTACTGTGACTCAAGGGACAGGGAGGCCAAGACATTTGGTCAACGTTTCATGTCAGAGCGACATGGAAGCCTGTGTGCCCAGTGCCCAGTGATGCTTCCAAACCTCATACCTCCCCAGATGATGGTCACCTCACTAAGATTGTTGCCCGATTCTCAGCAGCATCCAACGTCAGAATAGCACTCTTTCCGCAAACCAGGAAGATTCTTCCAGAAAAAGCAGCAGGCAGCAAAATATTCTTAGTACTTGGTGGAGGGATTCCCTTTCTTTCAAAACCTAATTAAGGACTGGCAAATAGAAATCTTGCTCAGCTTAGGTTTTATATAGCAATTGATTGTTTTATTTAAGGGTCTGCTTTAAATTCACCAGTATTTTCTTCCTTCCTTTCTTTCCTTCTTTCTTTATTTTTAACAAAGTTGCCCACACTCAACTATTGTGAAAATTCAGAATACAGAGATTAAGAACCTTTCTAAACCTTGTTTGTTTTCACATGTACTTGCCCTCTCTTGGAGAATTTGGGCTTCATCTGTTGAAGGCCAGAGGTCAGAACAGTGTTGATCCTGGAAGCTCAGGAAGTTTTGGGGGACATTTGGAAGTTTAGATATTCTGGGGTCCATGTTCTATGCCAAGAACTAGTCTCTCAGTGTGTAGCAGCAGAACAAGTGTAATGATTTGATCTCTTATAGCCACTGTCACCTTCATCTATAAATTTGCTGGTGATTTATTAATATCTGTTCTACCTGTCTCAGCCTGCAGGAGACCTTGTATTGCTGCATGCCTTCTACAGAGTAGAGAGAAATGAAGGGAGCAGATGGGATTATGACTTATTTTCCAACGTTGAATTTATAAAAAGATCTTTTGTCAGACATTGCACAGCAGTTTGTGGGATGAAATTAATCCTATGAATAAAATTGCTAACCTCACCTAAAATAGGTGCTTTATTTAAAGAAGGATCGATGAGGCTTGCTAAATATTATTTTTGGTGTTGATAAAAGCTTTTCATAATCTCAGGCTGCAAACATGGGCTGAATTGGCAGTTCTGGATGCCATGCCAGTGCGCTGGAGCTGGCTAACGATGTCACCCACAATGTCAGTGAGGCCAAGCCACCCCGAGCTGTCTCCAGGCCTCTGTCCCTCCTCTGCAATCTCAGGGTAGGAGAAATGTTTTTCTCAATGCGTGTGAATCTAACTTTGGACACATCTCACAGTCTCATTTTCCAAGGATCATCATTCGTGAGTTAGACAGCAAAACGTTTAGCTGTGTCCACCATGTAACAAAAAACATTCCTGAGGCTGTCAGGCCAAAGCCCTGAGCTCTTTGTTCGTTGCCCAATGGTCTCACGGCTTCTGGATTTTAGGGGAACATTATGACCGGTCTACTATTTTGGTGCTGCTTCTTTTTGAAAAGGTTCACAAATAGAGTTTATTTCAGAGTTCACATATATGCAACTTCTATCTATCATCCTTTATAAAAGGCTAGTAAGGGCTTTGAGAAGTCAGTGCATCCTACATTACTGTGCTTGTGGCCTTTGGTGTCTCATTCTCAGAGAATTATTCCAGGGTTCCTAGCTATTCTGAACTCAAAATTCCTGTTGCCATCAAACAGTACTTGCTCCGGTGAGTAGAATCCTCAGCCTCAAAACACTCCAAAATCTTGGAGAAAAAATTAAAATTTAAAGTGTGTTCATTGGATAAAAACAAATGGTCGACTTTATTGTAAT